TGACAGATTGCCTTCCAGTGAAGGTCCAGCTTCTCCTTGAAAGTATTCACTGATGGGGCTGATACCACTTGTTCGGGTAAGGCGTTCCAATGATTGACTACTCGATGAGAAGAACGGGACCCCACTTTAACTTTATTAGATCGTGGTTTATGAACCTTCTTGCTATGACCTCAAAGATTATTAGTGCTGGATGGAGCAAAAAGATAAGACATATTAATACCCAAATCATAATTAAAGATACGAAAAGCCAGTTTATGGTCACCTCGTGTCCTACGATACGACAAGGGGAGCAGGTTTAGGTGTTTTAAACGCTCATCAAAAGGGAGTCTAGAAAGATCCTTCACTAATTTCGTTCCCACACACTGGACACGCTCAAGTGAGTTAGTAGCCTTTACCAGACATGGGTTAGCTGCTTGGATACGGTACTCTAAATGTGGTCTTACGTAGGTGGGATATTAAATTCGAAACGTTTCCTCGTCAAAATATTTGAATGCTCGGCGAAGTGACCATAACGCACGAAAACCCTTGACAGCGTCTGCGTTGCAATGCATAGTTATTTTCAAGTCATGACTTATTACTACTACTAAGTCTTTATGTTCTTGAACGCATGGGAGAGGTTTGCCATCAATAGTATACTGGTAACTATTACCGTGACCGATGTGCATTGGCACACTCTTCCTAGGATTGATTTCCAAACCTCAACCTTGGGCCCATCTAACTAAATCGTCTAAGTCAGCTTGAAGATCTATATGATCAGCCGCACTTTTTATTGTTCTCCAGATTTTTACGTCATCCACAAACAATAATGTCGACGACCTAAGCAACAGCATTAACTCGTTGACGTAGAGAAGGAAGAGCAGAGGGCCTAAGATGGTGTCTTGGGGTACACTACTTTTGACCGGCTTCCAATCGGACAGCGTCCCATTGACCCTTACTCTCTGTCTGCGGTCACATTAGAAATTACCTATCCACTCCTGTACAGTGCCTATGATTCCGAATACCATCACTACGTTTCATACGCCGTTTAACATACGAAAACAATCGTTTCGGAAAGTACGGCTATAATATACCAACTGTCATTCGCAGGTAGTGCGGGATTTAGCTATGGTTTTCTTACAGATATTCCGGAATTTTGGTACTCACGCTCAAATGACGCATGACCTGTCAACAAGAATAAGTCCCAGAAGTGTTGCCTACGCTTTAACAGCTTTCGAGTTTGCTTATTAATCCATGGAGGGCAGTGTGATAGCTTACGTGCTGACCATGGGATAAACGGCGACGTTACGGACTCGAATGTAGCCTTAAACTTATTCCATTCGTCTTCGATCGATCCATTCGCGTCGACCGAACAATCAATCGAGATAGCACAGTTTCTGATTGCCGGAATATTGGCTCACCGGATATTGGGACGGGGTGGAGCAGATACAAATCGTATGCCATGTCTCCTAAACTTAAAGTGAAGTACAACGTGATCACTGTTCACTAGTGTTCACCAGACGTCATCACACTGGTGGGTGGGGCGAGGTCCAGCAGCGACGGATCATGTTGCAAATCAATATTTGTCGGTTTTGTGATACATTGTACGAGTGCACACTGAATAACGGTTGATAAAAGGTCGCTATCGAAACCACTACCTGGAGCTGTAAGCTCTATCCAGTTGATGTGCGGTGCGTTGAAGTCCCCAATGATGAGACAACATTCTGCCATACTCCAAGAACAGATGTGTCTTAGGATAAAGTCGTCAGCAAGACAAGACGGACTACGGTATATTCCCCCTATAGTCACTAACCCATTTCTAGATTTAATCTCACAACATGCTATCTCACATTATGCATCCCCGCTTGCGGCTTAAAACTCTATCACTTCTAATAAAGATTTAGCCTGCCATGATGGGAGAACATTCTATATCTACGGTGAACCATGTTCCTGTAACAACAATTATATCAGGACTTAATTCATCCACCATCAGACTTAGCTCGGACGTTTTATCTTCAAGGCTAAGGGCGTTTGTGTAGCACACACTTAACGTGTTTTGGTAGTCATTCGTTCTACACATACAGGCCTCGGAAGCATTGGCTTCCAAGACCTAACTACCCGAAAACCCTAATGGCAAGATTAGTTTCGCCATTTATCTTGCGAGTTCTCAACTCCGTAAGAGCATTCTTCCACTTGATTCGATCCTCAAGCGGCCAATCTGGTCAGATACGAATAACTGAATCACGAATTTTTTTGTGCGTTTTTCAATAATACATCTCTTTCTTCAAAATTCCCTAGAATTGGCTTCAAGATCCTTCTTGGTTGGGTCTCGCCTCCAACCCATTTACCGAGTCTTATTGCTTTCGTGATATGTACCCCTGAAACCTCTTCAGGTAGTACATGTCTTACCACGGATTCCACCAATTGCAGATCATGTGCATGTCTCTTAGCAAGGTCATTGTCTTTCGACTCCTCTAGGTTCCAAATAATTAAACTAGGAAGGGGTTTAGCTCCCTTTGAAATTGTGTTAACGGCTTTCGACCGTGACGTTAGATCCTGTATTTTAACTACTGGTATCTTACGATTAGTTTTTATTGTAACAGAGTCGAGCGAGTGACTCACAACAATGTTAGACGAAGCTTTACTTTGGAGCTTTGGAGAAATGGCCTGAGAGTCCACCAAGGACTTATCAAGCAAACAGTCATTAGTTTCAGCTGTCTTTCCTACTCTTCTGCGTTTTCGCGTCATCCATTTTTCATCAGACGAAACATCTACATTAGAACAACTCGGGACAGTGATGGTTTTATCTGGGTCACCGGTTGCTGCTGTAGCAATATGCCCACCAATATCCAATGAGGTGTCACTCATTGATTGTTCCGGGGTAGACGGTTTAATTGCGAGTTGAACAGTTAGATGTCTGGCTCGCGCCGTGACAAAACTTACGACACTAACGCAAGCTTCGCCATCAGTACCAATACTACCAGTACAACCCTCATCAACATCAGGAGGCTAATTGTTTCCTGGATGAGTAATGGTTTGCTCGAGCAACAAAAACTACGAAGCCAATGCGAGTTCGGCTTTGAGCACCTTTTATATGCAGTGGGGCTTATTCGGGTGCACATTTTATGGAACCACTTAATACACTCAACACATTGCATCCCTTCCACCATGGGACTAAGCAATATGGTTGTCCACATTCATGAGCAGAGCTGGCCATCTTGAAAATCAGCTACAATGGTGACACAAGCAGGATATGTAAAAGAATTCTCAAACCTTAACTAAATAAATCAAGTAAAAGTCGACCGAGTATGCTTCGATGCAATAAATACACAAAAGGAAAATCTTAACACTCAATACAATATCACTTTAACTGGAGTAGATGCAAATAAAGTATAAACAGTAGTTTTGATGTGTAATTTACGATCAAAACAGTTAATTAACTCAACGAGAAACAATATCACTGTCCTATTTAGATAGCAATATCAGTACTTTTTGATAAATTAAAAGCAAAATCAAATCTACACAGTACTACAAATTACAAGGACTAATAGAGATCGATTGATCTCTTATCTTGACTACTGAGATTGAAATTTGCTTTATCAGAGCAACCATTTAAGTATCTGCTTTAACCTATCCGCAACGCAGGGTCGTTTACCCAGAGACTGGAAAAATGCCATAGTAAGTCCTGTCTTCAAAACAGGTACGAAACACAAACCTGAGAATTACTGCCCCGTTAGCCTAACTAGTGAGGTTTTTAAAATCTTAGAAAAGATTATTCGGAAGGAGCTATTTAAGTATCTCGATAAAAACCGGATCCTCTCGGAGAAGCAGCACGGCTTCAGAACAGGTTATTTTTGTCTCACCAACTTATTAGTGGCTCGTGAAAGCTGGTGCGCTCTTAAGGACCAAAAGCTACCTATAGACGTCGCCTTCATTGATTTCAGTAAAGCTTTTGACAAAGTTCCGCACAACCGGCTGTTATATAAGTTAAGAAATGTCAGGATTGGAGGGAATCTATTTGTGTGGATAAAAGACTTCGTAGTTGGGCGTCAACAAAGAGTAAGGGTGAACTCAAGGTTATCTAGCTAGGGAACTGTGCTTAGTGGAGTGCCTTAGGGTACAATTTTGGGCCAGTGCTATTCCTCATCTTCTATCATCATGGGTCTTGCTATACGCTGACAATGTCAAGACATGGAGAACAATACGATGTAAGGATGATAGCTTAGAATTCCAAAATGACCTGAAGAAATTATGTGAATGGTCTCAAACCTGGAAGTTGCTTCCAAGTGTGTTGTGATGCATATCGGTCGTCAAGGTACAGATGCATACACGATGAATAACACTGAGCTACCTGTCGTCCAGACATATAATGACTTGGGAGTTATCGTTACCCAAGACCTAAAGACTACTGCACACTGCCGTGCAATAGCCGTCAAAGGTTTTAGAACCTTATGGTCAATATGTAGGGCCTTTTATCATGTCGATGCTAAGACGTTTTTGACTTTGTATACAGTGTTCGTACGTCCTAAGTTTGGGTACTGCATACAACCGGCTAGCCCCTGCTTAAAATAAGACAGTGAGCTTCTGGAAAAGGCTCAGAGATTGGCAAGTAAGCTGATTTTCGGAATAGCGAGGCTTCCGTATGAAGCTCGACTTGCCAAGCTGAACCTTTTCCCGTTGTCATATCGCAGAACTAGAGGCGACTTGATTACAGTTTTCAAATTGCTTAGTGCCAAATTTGCACCTGATATGCCCTCATTTTTCTTGCCTTCCAAAACAGAGAATTTATGAGGACACTCCAAAAAAGTTCACAAGCCAAGAATAAATTACTTGTCAGCTGACTATCGGCTTTCCCATCGAATCATCAACGAGTGCAATTCATTACCTCAGCACGTGGTTGGGGCTCCATCCGTCGACTCTTTTAAAAGAAAATTGGATCACCGTTGCCAGGACTAACACAGGCCACTAAGCCTCCTGTCCTTCCCAAACGGATACTGAAACATTGAGAGTTGTATCGGGAAAGAAAGAAAGGCTGCAGTTTAAATTGCACGTTACTTTCGACGTAATGGTGTTTTGCATTATGAGAGTGATTAACAAAAGTTATTCGCGACTGAAATTCACACTCCCCTCGATCATTAAGTGAAGTCCCATCTGTATTTCAGTATTTCAACGAAGCTATAAAGACTTAGAACTTTAAATTATTAAGCAAATTTATCGGAATACTAGGCAAGCGGCTGGGTGTTTATCGTAACTAGATAATAGAATTCGATTGTAATTTAAAAGTTTTCCTATCAAATTTGCCTGTGAGGATGGCTGCGAGGGTGAAATCCACGACATCGAGGGTTTTATTACAATGAGTTCATAGTAATATGTGTAGTTGTACGCGAGCGCCCAATTTTGGGGAAAATTTGACCCTTTTTCGGGGAAGACGCTATAGTGCACTTTGGAGAAATGGCACAGAAACACCAAATTTCCCTAGATCTGAGGAAATTCCCCTTTAGCCTTGGTGGAGGTCATTTTACTTTGGAGGTTTCCCCAAACTTGGGAGACTGGGTAGCCTAATCCCAGTCCCCTGATTTTGGGGGAATTTCGGGGTTTACCCCAAAGTCGTATAAATTTTTAATTTCCTCCAAATTCTGAGGTTTTGTGTCACTTCCCCAGGTGTTTCTATTGTGGTTTCCGTAAAACTGATGATTTTCCCCCCGAAATTGGAAGATTACGGTAGGCTGTAATCCGAATGTTATACGTAAGTTTGTTAGTGCTCTCATGCTCCAAGTTTCATCGTTGAGTTTTTGTACAGGTAGCACTCACCCTAAAAGCATTTCAACTGGTCTTTTACCTCATGATCCATAATTGGAATGAAAACTCCCAGTCTATCTCTTAACTCTAACCGTCAACTGTAAATCACAATCCTAATTTCTCGCAATAGTTTATCTAGCTTTAGTAAGTAGATGGGCATTGTGGAGGTCACTTTAGCCCCACTCAAAGGCTGACACAAGTTATAGTCCTACCGGATTTTCTCGTCACAAATCTCAAGTCACTGGGAACCATGTTTCTGTATTTTTTGTTTCTTTTTCATGAAGGTTTTCAAATAGCATTAATTTGACTGTATCTTCAGGTTCCAATTTTCCAATACGCAGAAATGTCTGGAGCTTTTGCGCAAAATAGTTCTAGATACGTAATCGCTCATGAAGCAACAAGTGCCAAGCGTGTAAGTACCCATAGATTGTTGTTCCTCAAACTTTTAGCTTTTAGACGAGAACGAGCATATCATCGAGTTAGTTTCTGACCTTGCTAGAAAAGGTCGATTCCGTGAATCGGTCCAACTGCAGGCCGTTCTTCAACGTAATTTAGTGTATCTTGTGTCGTCAGTTGATCAGAATAACTTGGATTCAAAGCAACCAGTTGGTGCTGACACTGTTGCTAAATAACTATCCTTTTAATCCATGTAATTTACTTGAAGCTGAGGTTGTTCGGCTTCTGTTACTTTTGCCACACGATCTTTCATATTGATGGATGTTTGTACGATCTCGCGTCCCACCGATTTTGCTGTTCATCATTTCTTTCAAAGCTTCTTACAAGAAAACCTTTATTTTAATTCATTCTTTCGAAATAATAAGAACTCTTCATACTCTTACAGTTAAATATTGCTCTTAGAAATGATGTATATATGAAGTTGGTCCAGGCATCGCAATCATTATTTTGTTATTTCAATTCATTGAGTGAAAGGTATTGTACTTGTGTTTAGTTTATTTTTATTGACTCCACCGGCTTAAAGCCAGTTTGTAAATAGTTATGTACATATGTTTATATTTGTGTATTTGCTTTAGCTGTTATTCTGTCTAATATCATTGACAGATTGGCCTGGTAATTAATTTTTTGAGATTACATATAATTTAAACGACTGTTGTTCATGTTGTTTACTTGACTGTTTTTGTTGGAATATCAAATCGTAAAATACTCACCTAATATTTAGATAAATGCATCAGTCTTGAGTTGTCGGTTCCTCAAAGTTTCCACTTTTGGCTTTTCAGAAAGTCTCTTTGACTCTTCCAACTTGTGGTACCTGTGTTACAAGTGAAACGTCCGTCTTCCAACTTCACATTAGTTTGACCTGTCCTATTTATGGTTGTGAAATGATTCCTAAAGTTAGCTATTTGTGGATTATTACCATCTAGTTACGAGTGTCCTCAAAGAATCGCTTACGTTTGTTGGGACTGCCGAATGAGCAATGGAAAGGATAGACTCGGAGTACTGGATAAAGATAACAAGTCGGTATGTAAGGTGGTGTCTTCATTAAATAAGGTGATTAGAACATGTATTATGTGTCCTTTAAACGAACCACCACCGCTATATATTTCAATCAAAGCAGTCTTCACAATATTATCATTAAAAAAGTTGAAGGGGAATGACGAGTTTAACGAATCATACCTAAGGGGTTTCTGGAATGGAATAATGTAAAAATGTGTTTGTGTGCACTTACTGTCTGAGATGTTCGTGTAGTAAGCCTTCAAGATGTTAATAAATTTCTCAGACACACCCTATTTGAACACACAATCTCAGGTGATAGTCCTCAATGAGACGAAGGTGATCATGATATGAGGAAGCACGACCGTTGGTATGCGATAATTGTGACGGTATTTTAATGTCAAATTCGCAGTTAGCTTTAGTAGTAATTCACTAAAATGTTGTATAAAGGTCTGTGATCTACTGCAAACATCAATGTTAGCAGTTACCATGTACATGACCAAACTTATCTGTTGTCTCATTTTCTTCAGTGTACGGACGTTGGAGAAGGACAGCATTTGACTTTCCGGAAAAACTGACCTGGATTCCGTATTTGGTGGTGGCATCCAGGGTTTCGACCACTTAGAGACTTGGGGTCGCTTAGACAAGACGGAGCTTACGACGTAGATGAGCTGCTGAGTAATTTGGGATATAAAGATAAATAGAGAACGGAATAGGAGTTTGATGCTTTGTAAAATCGACACGTTTGTAATAGAATCATAGTGAGTATCGGTTGAGTAGGTAGGTAGCTTAGCGGAGCGAATATTAGCACCTTCTTCATAGTTATGCATTATCTTATTTGTGAGAAGACTGACATACTGTCTGGATGCACAGATTGAAGCACGTCAGTCAGCTACAACGTAGGACCAGGCACATATATGCATCGGTCCAAGTTGCCATACCTCATTAGCACAACAAGATGAACACCGGATTCATAGGAATAGTGAATTCAGAGGTGGTGATATACAAAAGAAAGATTGCATATAAGGATATAGTACAGGAAAAAAGATTTAGTACGTAGAAAAAAATATGAAGCGATTTTAATCTCTTAGTTTAAGGGAAGACAGAGAGTGCATACACCTACGCCATTGTGGTCGATTGTGAGCCATCTCACTAAGAGTCTCCAACCATTGGTTACGATAGTCACGCGGATCTCAACCAAGTAGTCTGCATCTACCAACATGGCTGAGACTAGAAGTTAGTGACTTCAAGCACTGATACCACGTTTTGGTTTGGCCGCCCCTAACTTTCTTCCAACCATCTTCAACAACGGTTAGGATTGCAAGTCGTGGTTATCGGTGTCCAGGCATGAGTAACACGTGGCCCAACCATCTCAGTCGATGAAGATTCACAACCTCACCAACTTATTTACCATCACTTCCTAATACCCTGCATCTAACCTCACCATTACTTACCCGGTGATCCCAACAGACGCCAGCAATATTTCTAAGGCATCTGTGGTCAAATACTAGTAGCTTACGAGTATCTTCTACTCTTAATGGCCAAGTTTCGCTGCCGTAAAGTAAAACAGAACAAACTGCTGCTCAGTATACTTTATTATTAATAGACGGATATCTCGCCTTCGCCATAGGTGACGAGCTTTTCGAATCCGTGCTGAGATTTCTTCAGACACCAACCCATTAGGGCTGATGAGACTTCCAAAATAAATGAAGTTGTCAACGCGTTCGACTACTTCACTCGCTATCCTTAATTCAGCACGTGGTTATCTTAGGGACCGTTTGATGCAGAGGTCTTATCCAAAAGTCAATGGGGTTTTTGATGGAGTTTTTTCTCTGAGCTGGATGGTTTGGTCGTGGGGCTTTCATCGTTCTTCTGAACGACATCATCAGCACAAACTTCAGATAGAAGTGAAGTGTTTGGTCTGCCCTCGATTCTACGGCAGACCAAAAATACACAAACCAAACATTCCACTACGTCCAATTGTAGCACTCCTCGGAACGCCAGCATACAATTTGTCAAAAGAAATTTCACGAATACTGAAACATTTATTAGATTCATCCAACTACTTCATCAAGTCCCACACACAATGCCTGGACCAAATTAAGGACATACAAATCAATAACGACGAACTGATGATATCCTTCTATGTAACGGCGTTATTGACCTTACTTGAACCAAGGTTAGCAAAAGAAACTATATCCCTGCTCCTCACCAACGACACAAATCTCACTGAGTACACGATGCTTCAAATTCAAAGTCTACTAAAACTCATCCATTTATGCCTAACAACATATTTTCAACTCAACAACAAAATCTACGAACAAACGAGAAGGACACCAATCGTATCATCAATATCAGGACTGATCGCAGAGGCAGTGATGCAAAGATCAGAAGCCGCGATATTACGAGTGATGAAGCCTAAAATTTGGATTTGCTATGTAGACGACACATTTGTCATCGTCAAAAAGAATGAACTGGAAAACACTTTCAAACTGATCAACAAAGTTTTCAATGACATCAAGTTCATAATGGAACAGGAGTCAAACAACAAACTATCATTCTTGAATATATTGGTCACTAGAACCGACACAGGAAAACTGGAGACTCAAGTGTATAGAAAAGCGATCCATACAGATCAAATTCTCAACTACAATAGCAACAACCCAAGAGCTCACAAAATCAACTGCGTACAAACTTTGTTCAAGAGGGAAGGACACACTGGCAGCACGAAAAAAATGAAGAGAAATACCTGAAGGACGTATTTCAAAAGAACAGTGACCCAATCAACTTCATCAAAAACCACCAATCACACGCAGCATCAGAACCCAAGTCAAGCATAGGAATCAACAAAAGGATCGCCCTACCATACATAAAAGGCATATCAGAAACCGCAACGAGACTGCTGAAAACCTTCGGAATAGGTGTGGTACACAAACCGATAAAATCACTACAATCAATCCTATGCAAACCAAGGGATGAAACAACGAAAGAAAACAAATCAAACATCATCTACAAAATAAACCGTGCCAACTGCGAAAAACACTACATCGGACAAAGCGGACGCCCCCTTCGCCCTCTCCTACATGAACAATTAGCAGTCAAACGCCACGATACTTCACGTGGACAACTGCGGACACTCATTCGATTGGAAAACCGTGGAAATCTTGGGCAGAGGAAATTCCAAAAACACCAGAGATTTTTTTAAAAGCCTGGCACTCAGGTCAATCAGCAATCAACAAGCATATTGAAACCAATCCAATTTACCAACCAATCAGGAAAATCATGCACAAATATAGGAACGAAAATCAAACCAATGGGAGACACAACCAAAACAAAGAAGTGAACAATGACAAATTTAAGGTCAATAAGAACCAATCAACATCGAGTTGTACAGAACAAGCTGTGAAATGCATATGGAGAAATTCGAACACTTCACTTCTATCTGAAGTTTGTGCTGATGATGTCGTTCAGAAGAACGATGGAAGCTCCACGACCAAACCATCCAGCTCAGAGAACAAAACTCCATCAAAATCACCCACCTGAGCTACAAGTCCCCACCATCTCAAAACCAATGAGGTTTATTATTATTATTATTATTACTAATGGCTTCATTCAATATTATATTTTGGTACAATTTAGAAATTCTCAGCACAGGGTATTTCAACAAGTTTCTTGCACACAAAAAATGTTTAAAAAAACAACCGAAAAACTGTACAACTTTTCAAATTAGAAACATGTTAAGAATTCAGGTTATTGACTAGGTTAGCTCTAATAACCTGTTCGTCACAGTATATTTGCTAGATAAGGTATTATAGAACTTTTATACTTTTGCTTGCGTGCATGGATTTTAATGTATTGATGTCTCGTTCTACCAGAAGATATACAAGGAGAAAGATAAGAGTGAAGGGGATAGTTAGTATCTGATAAAACAACGCCTGTCAGGAGTTTGCATGACTTTAGATGTCTATCCACAGCCATATTAATTATGACCTCGAAAGATTCACCACACACCTTGCTAACTGCCTTCAGCACTCTCCTCAATACAGCAAAGTCTTTTCTCAAAAGCCCGTGAAAGAATAAAGGAGAACAGTAAAGAATAATAGGTAATATGCAAGAATTGACAAATTGTAAGAGTAAATGACGAGTAATCTTAAGAGCATGCAATCTCTTTATGTAGTAAGTCAGACGAGAAACCTTCTTCGATAACAATAAAACATGAGAAGACCAAGAGAGATCAGAGGAAATGGTGACACCAAGATAATTGACCTTCGACACTGTTTATCAAAGAGTCTCCAATGGCACAAGCATTATGGGATTTCAAAATGATGTCTAGATGACGTTCATGTCTCATGCTAAAGTTAACAGCTTGACATTTAGACTAATTCAGTATAAGACCATTATCAACAGACCAACAATCAATACAAGACAGAAACTCATTCATTTCTATGGGATGTAAAGAGGAAGAGATAGGCATACATACAGTGAGATAATCCGCATATTTCACAAAAGTGTTTTCTGTGGGAGATGGCAGATCATGCAGAAAAAAGAGAAAAGAAGAGGTGAAAGAACAGCTCCTTGTGGTACAACTTCATGAGACAGTAGAGACTCTGGACACTTTCCTCCAAACACAGTGTACTGTTCCCTTCCAAAGAGGTAGGGACATAGCCAGTTGGTTATCCAGCTGTCAGTGTTGACGCTGATTAACTTGTTAATTGAACGTTGTCTTGGTACAGAATCAAAAGCTGAAGTATAGTCAAGAAAAGC